TCCCCATATGCTGAAAAGGGCAGTCCTTTGTGAAGGCAATATGCCAAGGCAATGGTATAACCAACCACTTCAAGCTCAAAGGCCACAACACTGAGCCCTCTAACACTTCTATGCCTCAAAATCTTTAGTATCTGCAACGGTATAAAATCGTCACACAACATGCAGCTCAACATTCAATAAAATGTAAAGTAAACTCTGATTAAGAACAGCAAGAACATTTCCAATCCTGAAAACATAACTGGGAAAAAAAAGTCCGAACCATAAAACACGAATTTGCCTCTAATGATGAATCATAGAGTGAAAACAAAAGAAAATTTTGGCGGTAGTGGGATCGGAGAGAAAGAGAGGATGAGCAGCGCACCTGGGGGAGTTTAACGGTGGTGGATGCTGCGACGATGCAATAGCCGAGGAGTTTGGAGATGAGGGGAAGTAAGCAGTCTTTCTCCGGGAACTTGCCGTGTCGCAGAGATCCGATGGCGCAGCTGAAATCAATTCCCAAATAATCCATTGTGTTTTTCTCCACGGATTGAATTCCGGCATCCAACGAATGCTTCTACGATCAGCAAAGCTAAAGTAGGTACTTGAGCCTTGAATTTCAGTTCCTTTCTTCCGTTTTTTTTTTTTTTTGTCTTTCTTGCTCTTGGGTTAAGCTTTTTTAGGATCCCGTAATCGTAGCCACTGGCTTGCTTTGTAAACTCCAGGCCGTGGAATTCTTAGCCCAAGGACCATTTTTGAGGCTTAATTATTTTTCCAAATTAATGAGGCCGACTTTGTTTCCTTTGGATCCCCTTTTTATGGTCAGAGAAAAAATGAAAATTTGGTAGTCCTTGTATTTAAAATTTTTTAATGTGAAAATTATTTATAAAATTGTTTAAACATGATTTAATAAATATTTTTAGTATATTAATTCATCAAACACATTTAGATATTTTATTTATCATTATTAACTTTTTAATTATTAAGATGTTTTAATTTTTTATAATTTTTTATCTTGATAACACAATTGGGTAATATGACAAAAAAAAAAAAAATTCTCTGCCTTCCCTAAATCCACCTACATGTATATCTACTGAAAATAAATTATTACCTGGCTGATTGGCACAAAAATGATTTCTTATTATTGTTAAAATATATAAACAATTCAGAGAAGATCGGCACAAAAATAATTTCTCCAGAATGCCTTTATTGTAGGTAAAGCATTAGAAGAGTTGCAAACAATTACCTAATTAGACCAAGTCATATCTGATCAAGAAGATTCTTAGAATGTCTGATTAACCTGCCTTGTTTGCTCTGTAGCAACCAATTAGTGTCATCAAAACCTTGGGAAAGGTCTTTCAGAAGTTGGACCCTATACAAAATGGAGCAAAGGCTCAAGAATATATCAATTAGAATTGTAGATTCAGAAAATTTAAAAACTGAACAGAACAGCCACCTTCCATTGCCAACATGGTCATCAGCAGTCAGGGTGTTGCTCTTCCAGACCACAACATTCAGCTTCCTTATGCCTTCAGTCTGCGTGAAAATGAATTTCTCTTGGAAGGCAGGATTCTTTCAAAAGGGTAGAAGACTTAACTGATTATTATACACCACTGAAAGAAAGTTTTCATGGGAGACAGACATATACCAGTGCAGGTTCTGGTTCTGTACTTGCAGCTTCCATATTCAGGGCGAACATAAGGATCCTGCCTTGATAACCATTCCTTGTCCTCCAAGTTATAGCATGAAACAACTGCAAAATAAATTGTAATACTGAAATGAGAAATCTGCCTGAGAGGATAGTATAGATTAACTCACAATATTACGCTGCGTTACGTGTCATACCAGTGACCTCAAGAGGTAGGCCTTGAATGCCAGAGATCGACATGGATGTGACTCTACTATGACTGAGATCTACTTTTGTTTGCAAGGTTTAAGAGTGATTTATAGAGTTGGTGGAAATAATCTTCACTGTTAAGAGTTGACTAGACCTTTTAGTCATCCCGGTTGCTGCATCAGTCATGTGGTTTGCATTGATTAAAGGCAGAACCTACATCAACTTGCCAAGGAATGTCAAGGAATGCAATTTATAATAATTAAAACAACTTTTTAGACATCCTAATATATTGAAAAATCAGCAAACACATAAAAATGCCAAGGCAGATATTGTATCGCGATATCAGTATTTGAGTTTTAAGAGTGTACTTATTTCTTAAATGGTGTATTAAGCATTTTTTAATGGCTACTTTGGGTCAAATGTCAAGATGCCAACTCAATTTTCTGTACAATTCCTGGTGTTAACAATATGAACAATGGAGTATCTTTTTTTTTCTCCTTTTTTTTTTTAAAGGATATTTTCAAATTAGAAATATCTAAGTCCAAACCCTAAGATGTACGGATGGACTTTCTTTGATGTCTTTAACAGCAAAATTGTTGGACTTTTGATGTAAAACTCAAGCTTGATTCATGTTCTTTTAAACATTTACTATTCTTCTGCTGCCTGACATAAGAATGACGTGACACATGAGGCAAATGACCATATCCAGATCTTTTTCCCTACCCCCTGGGTAAGCTTAAAGATGCCTTGAACATTCCGCACTCTATATTTAATACTCTTGTCTTCCCCTTTAGATATTTTATGTAGTTGTTATATTGAATCCTTTTTTGACTATTTCAATTCTAATCTATACGTTAGCAAGGAAGCAGCCCTGACCTACAGAAACAGTCATGAATCTTACAGTTCCAAGCACTTTTTATACGCTTTGAAGTGAGTTTAAGGTATGATATTAACACATTTTGGAATTAATAGGAGTTTAGTTGAGTTGGTATGTAGACGCTAACTTCAAAGCCTTAATTTTGAGGTCAAGGTCAATGGTTCAAATACATGCAATACTAAGTACACTAGCTTTGTGTTGTACATATTTTGAGTGAGGTTTGGGCAGTGAAACTTAGCTTGATACTGTGAATTCCAATTTTCAGGTGTATCTTGTCATGGTTGGTAACGCTGCTACTTGTCTCTTTTCTGCCCCATTATTGATCTTGATTGAAACCCCAAAATGCCTTTTGGAGCATTATAATTGGGACTAGGAATGTTTTGAACCAACAAAACTCTAGTCTAATGGTCTTAATCATAGATTTCATTGTTTGTGAAATCCTAATCAAAGATTCCTAATGAAATGTTTGTAGAAGTATGATAAACATTTCCGTTGAGTCAACTTTCACAATCTGGGATGAGATGTAGGCAATATACCTGCACCAATGAGAGGTGGTAATTGGAATGTTGAACCTAAAGAGATAAGGAAATGAACGGAAAGTGATAATTGTATTGCAAGGGTGGGGAAGGGGAGGGCCCATTGTCTTTTATAAAAGAAGAGGATTGCTCTTTTGCCTCTCACCATTGTAGCTTTCAATCCTTTTACATGCCCCCACCATTTCCTATCATGTTTTCAACTAGGACCAATATCTTCTGCAAATTTCTGCACATCCCATTAACTTCACCTCCCCATTTGACTTCAAATTACCAACCCTTATCTCCTGCAAACAGGATTATCCCATTTCTCTTTTTGATAACTTGGCCCCCCCCAATATTTAAAATGAACTGGAAATCTCACCTCTGGGTCTCTGAATGTGAATTACCTTGTCCTGAATCAGGGAAGGCCTAAAACAGAAGGCTAAGATGCGAGGACTGTTTGCTCAAACAACTGCCATCTGACACCCTTAAGAATAACCTGCATTAAACTCACGAAAATTTCCAAAGTTTTTTCCCTCTTAATGGTGTTTCTAAACAAGTTATTTAGTACATTTGATTCAAATGAATCATAAATGAAATGGTCCCTCCATAAAGCCTATTGGAAAGGGCATTTAGGTGTGAATTAAATGGAGTGTTTTTATTTCCTTTATATTTGTGACCTTAACTAGCACTCATTATCTCAGCGGCAGCCCTATTTCTCTTTGTCTGAGAGAATGGAAGGTGGACTTCCTATGCTTAACTGTCTCCTACAGCACACACTAAGGAGTCTGTGCTCTTATTCTGATCCATCATGTTCTTCAAAGTGGGTTTATGCTGTGTTCTGGAGGATTCTGCCAAGGAATTACCCTCCACCAAAGTAAGAACCATGAAGAAGAAACATAAACATCAAGAAGTTTGAGACAGACATCAATTGATGATGAATTTTGTCTGATGTAATGTCTACTTAATGTGTGTAGATCATGTTGGTTTCTTGCAGGTGGGATTATGGAGGGACTCTTCTTGATCGTTCCAAAGGAAACAAAAGAAACTGGTAATAAAGTTGAATTTACTTTCAAACTACTTTTCTTTTTCTTTGTTGATCCTGTAATGGACATGTCTTCTCTGTCTCAGGATTCTTGTATGGGAAGATGGCTTTTGTGATTTCTGTGAATGTGAGCAGGCCGGAAGTGGATATCTAAAGGGGAGATTTGGTGTTGATGTCTTCTTTAAAATGTCTCATGAAGTATACAATTATGGCGAAGGGTAAGAATCCACCAGAATCCGCATTTTTTACACTTCCTCCCGGCCAAAAGTAGTAATGTTGAAAGATACTTGGGTTCGCAGGGTGGTGGGGAAAGTTGCAGCAGAAAACAGTCACAAATGGGTGTTTAAAGAAACCCCAAATGACACTGATCCTACCTTCATCTCCCCATGGAATATGTCCATTGAACCCGTAAGAATTTCCCTAATTCATTTATATGAAGTGTACTGAACTTGCTTTCCTGGCCTGATTTTCTCCTAATTTGATCATACAAGCAGCAACCCAGGGCCTGGGAGTTTCAGTTCAATTCAGGCATTCAGGTAAACATGAGTGAGAACTCCAATATAATTAACCCATAGAAGGTTATTGATCAAAGTTTGTCTTGATTACAGACAATTGCTGTTATTTCTGTCAGGGAAGGCATAATTCAACTGGGTTCATTTGACAAGGTATCTGTTGTCCTTTCTCATTGGTTGTTTTATTTTTATGGTGCAAAATATGAGAATTTTGCCTTTTTTTAGATTGTGGAAGATCTCAATCTGGTCATCAGCATACAAAGGAAATTCAGTTATCTACAGAGCATTCCCGGCGTGTTTGCTATGCAAAGACCATACTTGCCAATCCAATATCCTTACGCCCTTAAACCCAGCAACCAGATGTTTGGATTCCAGGATGACAAAACCAGGCTGCAAGGTGGAAACAAAAGGATGATCAATGAAGCGGCAGGGGATTCCGCTGTCAAGTCCATCAACTTAGGCTGGAACAGCCCTCAAAATGGAGTTGCAGGATCACCGTTCTGGTCAATTCCACCTCTTCTGCCTCCCATGTCTTATAGTCTTGGAGCTCTATTATCAAAGTTTCCTTCCATGGTCCCTTCTTATGGTGCCATTGAAGCTCCTGACGAAGCTGCTCTGATCAATAAAATCAATAGTAGATGCAAGAGGATGAAGGTTGACACTAATGGCAGTGCACCCACTGAAGTTCAAGTTGCTGAGACAACTTTGGATGCTGCTCAAGAAGAGAAGCCTCCTAATTCCTTGGAAGAATAACTCATAGAGCTACAACAAGGTGTGCTCTAGAGTTGAATTGATTAGGAAACTCCATTATATTTATTATCATAAAAATATAATTCGGCTTTGGATGGTAGGTAGCTTACCAGTAATCATTTACTTATGCACCTTCTATTCTGAAATAATTGAATCATAAATAATCAACTCATCAATTAAGGACACCTCTTTTCTTTTTTTGCATTGAACGGAGGCTTTCTTTTAGATGAAGGAAAGCATCCTATGAAGATAAAAAGAAGACAAAGGAGAAGCTTAGGTCATGGCTTGTAAGAATTGAGATGAAACAAAATTGTGCATTGGGGTTCAAATGCATGCTTAACATAATTGAAAGTGTAGTTAGGATTTTGGCCTCTGCGCTTTCGTAATCGAGAAAGATACTGTTGCAGCGATGTCAAATTGCCAACTGCCAGGGGAATGAGAGGCACTCCACATTAAGCAATGGACCCCAGAGAAACCGAATGGATGTAGATAATTGAGTGAGGCCAAGTTGTTGTACAAGACATTTTGTCCCACTCACCAACATTAGTGGAAACGGTCCTCATCCTATAAATTTTTACTTCCTCTGTTTTAGAATAGGAATAGGAGTAGAGGTTATCAGATTTTATCTTTGTATTCAGTATTTGGGCATAATTTATATTTTTATTTATATCACTTTTTTTTTAAAAAAAATTATGATAAAATAAATAATTAAAGTTGAGAGATAATAAAATTAAAATAACAAATATATATATATATATATTTTTCTCTCTTCAAATATAAAAAAACTACTATTATTTTGTAACAGAGGGTACAGAATTTCTATACTGTCATAAGAAAAGATGAATTGTTAAAAAAGTTACGAATGACACTAGATTAATAAACTAATACTGGTATGTGAACGCAAACTTCAAGCAGGCAGCATTATATTGTTGACCAATTCTTAATAGCCATTGCTAAATGATGACATGATTTACAGAATATATCAGAAATAAAGAGCATTCTGTCTGTTGTTTCAAATGCGATAAATATAAGTTATTTACATAATTGGCATCTGATCTGAATTAAATTTTACTAGATCATCCATCTATGGGTATGGGGCAATGGCAGAATGGAAAGGAGGCATGGAGTATGATAAAAGAGGAGGACCAAATTGTACAATGTTGAGCTTCTTTCATCCTCCTTGTGTTATAATTAGGTTCCACTTTAAGTACTGCTACTTTTCGCTCCACTTCCATGGGCCCAGAAGGGTATTGCAGGAGTGCGCCTAAATGCCTTCACGCTCAATGGGTTGTTCTTGCTCTGTGGAAAGAATTCAAGTTAGCAAAAAGGAAAATAAAGGAACTTCAGACAATGCTAAGTATACAACAATGTAGTAAATTTTTTGCTCTTACCATCAAGCAAGTGCCTTCATTTACATTGCAGACAGGGTAGTCATGTGGGCAGCAGCTGTAATGGTCATCACAGCAAGTTGCAGCCTCAAGTGGACAGCATCCCCAAGAAAAGCAATAGCCATAATACTCATAGACACAGCAGCACGTATTGCTCTCCGGACAGGAGTAATAGTTATCACAAACAGTTGGAGGCTTTATTGGAGATGGAGGAGAAGGACCAGGGTTTGGGGGATTTTGGCCTGTCTTGATAGGATAAGAGGCCTCCATTGCAATTCCACATTTGCCGGTAGCAGTGTCAGCCAAGTTACGCTCCATTCTGATATAACCTGACTCTCCCCAGCTGCCACCCCATGAGTTCTTCACAATCCAGTAATCTTGACCATTTTCTGTGCCATATCCAACGGCAGTCACACCATGGTCCAGTGCTGTTTCACATTTCCCCGTGAAGATTCCCTAGATAAGTTGGAAACAAAGAAGAGTATTTCTAATTAAGACCTCAGATAACAGTACTGCTTCTTCCTTCTTAGTTCCATCAAACAAATACTCAAACCTTTTTTTTTTTCTTTTTTGGGCCTTGAAACATAATTAATTCTCAAACCTAGAAATCAAATTAGGCATTTACATATTATTGAGCAAAGTGGTATTCAAAGACTATCACAAATCACTGCAATTTAGTCAAGACAGAACACATTTAACGTTAAAATGTTTGTAACGTTGACAAAAATACAGAGACAGTAACTTACCGAATCATAAAACTGGAATTCCCTGCCTCCAGCTTCAATGGCAACACTCACAGGTTGATTAGCAACTGCCTTTTGCAGTGCTTTCTCATCATTCTCAGGAACATCTTCATAATCATTTATAGTAACAACCTTGGCATTTTTCTGCAAAATATGAAATTCCCAATAATTAACATGGATACTTATTATTATTATTATTATTATTATTATTAACTTCATAGTCTTAAATACACACCCTGTACTGGTCACATCTGCCATCAACGGCACGGTAGGGATAATCTTCCTCAGAGTCGATGCCGCCGTTGTTGATGATGAATTCGAAGGCGTAGTCCATGAGACCTCCATTGCAACCTTCGTTATAAGAGGTATCACAGTCCACCAACTCCTGCTCGGAGAGCGAGATCAGGTCGCCGGTAACTAGTTTGTTTATCCCCTCCACCGCCGCAATCGTCGAGAACGCCCAGCAGCTCCCTGATAATTTTTTTTCATCACATCGGAATTCAGAAGAGGACAAACAAAGACAGCCAGTTTCGATCCTACAGATGTTAGTAGGCCCAGGAGCCTAATTCCTACCCCCAACGAAAGTGTCACGCAACATGCTTTCCGACTTCGGAGGCGCGGAGAGTCCAAATTAGGAACATGACTATGTCGGGCGGTGGGATCCACCAAAAGAAATTTCTACTTGTAAGAGATGTGGTTATGGGTTATACCCACCCGTGAATTTGTTAGCGCCATATAAATGGTCAAATTTTTATATTAATTTGATTATTAAAGATGATTAATATTTATTATGAAAATGACAAAAATAATGGGACCTTACCAATTAAAATGTTTTAAATAATAATTTAAAAAAATTAAAATATTCTTAATAAATTAAGGCATAATAAAATTTATTAATAATATTTAAATAATTTTTTACAAAAAAAATAATATTTAAATAATTTTATAAAAAAATCTTAAACATTTAAGTATAAAAACGTCTTATTTTTATTTTTATTTATTATATTATTTAATAAAGATTAAATAAATATATGTTTTTATTATAAATTTATATTTTTAAAAAATAAAAATTAATATTTAATTTATGATACTAATATAACAATTAATAATTTTTATATTTTTTAATAAAAGAAAGTGGTCCCACCCATCCCATTAAGCGTGCATCCAATGCATCATGACTCATTACCCCATAAAGAATCCTGTGGGGCTACGACTCACAAGATTCTTCCCCCAAAGCCCTCTGAAATTTCAAAATAAAAATTTTGCTAATATTACCATGTGCATAGATAATTGCATAAAATTTGAATTAAAAATTAAATTAAAGCCTAAAAATGGTTATGCCTAAATTTTTAGGTATGGTGAATGACAAGATTATCCTTTAAGTCCATCATGGTAGTCGGAGATTCAAGCGGGGGCAAAGACGGTAACTAGACAAATCGTTGACCAAACTGATAAACTTCAATTAAAAAAATATTTAGTAATTAAAAAAAATTAAAAACTCACCGCAGCTCCCTTGGTCTTTGACATCAACCACGGCGCCTTCCTTCCTCCAATCGACGGAATCCGGCAGCGCATCGCCGAGACGCGGCTGGTACCGATCGGTCCTCTTGGAGATCTTCCTGGGGGCCTTCTTGGCGCCCAGGTAAGTGGCCCGGTACTCCTTGTTGGTCAGATCGGCGAACCTGTTCAACCCGACGCGATAGCTTCGGTTCTCGGCGTTATGCTCATCGATGAACCTGAGGTTATCCTTAAAAATCTGGAACCTCTTCTCCTTCTCTCCCAAGGCGTTGTAGGCCTTACCGTGCTTGGAAAGCCAGGCCTCGTATATCGCCATCACCTCATCGTCGGTCCTCCAACTCGACTTCTGGGCATGCGATTCGTCGTATGAAATGATCGACATGTCTAGGGCCGACGACAGGGCGAGCATCGCCAGGAAGAGTACCGCCGTGGTGGAAGGTAGAAGACCCATCTCCAATTGTGTTTTTGGATAGAAAATTGGTGAGTGATTATGGAGAAAGAAGAAGAATTGGTGATGGGTTTATAAAGAAAAATTGAGTTAGAAAATTGGGAATCATCGAAGGATAATAAGCGGAGGGTATATTAGTAAAATGGAAAATTAATTACTTACTAAAATGGAATTTAATTTTTTATGGAAAAAAAATGAAATTATTTTAATATGTTGAAAATTTCGGGGGGATGAATCGGACTGACAAATAAGCCCAATGCATGTGGATGAGTTTGTGATAAGCTGATAGGCTGGCAAAGCCGACACATAGAAATAGGAACGATGGTTTTCACGCGCGTTTTTCATGAAGTAGTAATTGTAGGGTCCAATTAGTGCATGCATTGACCGCCGTTAAAACACTTGGGGTGTTTGGGAGGGGAAGATATTTTATAAGGATAAAAAGAGTTTTTAATTTTACCATTCATATAGTGTGAAATGTAAAATAAAAATTATACAATAAGAGCTATTAATATTAAGAAGTTTGATTTTATTTAATTATTAAAGTTATATATTTTAAAATAATTTAGATTGTATATTTTTTTTTATAAATAATTACTTAGAATACTTGTATTCTTATTTTGTTTAATTTTAATATATTTAATTTTTTATTTAATAAAATAAAAATATAACAATTTATTAATAAAGTTTTATATTTATTTTAATTAAATACTAGTTAAATAAGATTTTTTATGTAATACATATATATTGTAATTATCTTTTTAAAATAAATATATTAAATAACATTCTAAAAAATTAAACAAATAGAATGTTTTAAATTAAAAATTAAATCTATTAGAGTTAAACAAATTAAATATTTATTTTATTTTTAACTAATTATTATTTTAAAATATGTTTAATATATGTTTTAAATGTGCGAAATAAGAGTGCATTAATTGCACCGGTTAACACTTAATTTTTTTTAAAAATGAAAAAGAGTTTATTTTTATCAATAATTTCACTGGCCTTTTAAAAAAAAATTCACTTGCTTACTTTTAATTGAATAATTAATCAAATTAGAGTTATTTTTAATTTTTTTAATACAAATTAATTGAAAAAATACAATAAATGTATTCTTAGGCATTGTTTATTTTCTTTATTTAAATAAGTCTTCTTATTTAATATTCTCTTGGTTTAACTTTAATAGACTTTGTTTTTTTGTTCAATACAATAGGAATGTAATAATTAATTGATAAAATTTTATTTTTTGTTCCTAATTAATCTATGGTTAACTACATAAATCTTTTTTATTTATTATAAGTTGTAATTATCTTTTCAACTTATACATACAATAGAAATATATATAAGTTTTAATTTTTTTTTACTAAAATTTAAATCTAGTTTTTTGGGTTAAATTGAAAAATTGAAAAAATAATGACTAATATAAGTATAATTGAAAATTTCAGTTTAAAAATCTTTTACATAATTTTTTAATAATTTTTTAAATTTTAATGTATTCTCTTTATTGTTCTGTAAATTATTTATTTATCTTTTTTTAATTTTAAATTACTAAAATTAATAAAATAAAATTTATGAAATTAAAAAAATCATATATACATATATGTATTGGTAAAACTGCATGATTATTCTAAAAAAAAATTAACCTAAACTAATAAATCCCAAACTTTTTGATTTAGTTAACGGTCTCTAAAACTCAATAATCAAAATTTTAGTTAACTCACAATTCTTAGATAATGAACAATGATAGGGAGGATGAAAATTTGAGATGAAATTTTAAAATTAATAACATAACTTATATTATATTATTAAATTAGTTAATATATATAATATTGTGAGTTAAAAAATTAATTATTAAATAATATAGCATCCACTTTTTTTTGTCATATCATTGATATTAAATTTTAATCTCATTTATCATTATTTTTAGATAATAAGCACTCGCTTCTGGTGCAACTGCATAAAAAAACAATCAACAATAAGATTAAAGAGGATGAAAATGAACATAATGGTCATTATGGCGATTCCTTTTAATCTTAAAAAGTTGTCTGAAAAAAAAAATCCTGTTACTGAATTACCGAAACAAGGGCAAAAATACATTTAGTTTAAGTAAATGCATAATTTTGAGTGTGATCTTACTTCCTTAAGACTGATTCCTGCGTGTCTCAAAAAAAGAACAGTGATTAACATATATGTATATAATATATTTATTAAAAAATTATTATTTTTTAATTTAAAATTAAACGTAAATAAATTTAAAAATATAATCATATAAATAATATATAAAAATTAGTTAAATTAATTATATTTATATTCTATTTTTAATAATTAAAATAAAAATATACCAAAAAATTATATTAAACCAATAATGTACATATCATTTTTCCTCCAAAAATATTGACTATACATAAATTGACCATTTCCCTTCAATTTTAATTGCAACCAAAACCGAATCGGGTCAGCCTTTCAATGCCTTGGGCAAGTGGGAGCCTTTACGTAGCTTTTATCACGATGGCGGGACCCACGGCTAGATGTGGGAGGAGGGAAGACTTTTGCATTTGCATCGATAATTTCTTTGGCCTTTCCCTTTCAGCCGACTGCTGACTCACTCAACGGCTTTCCCCTCGTCCTTTTCGATTGTTCCACAACACTATCTCTGAAGTTATAGGTTATGGTAAATGAATATTATTTTATGGATTAAATTTAAAATTAAAGATTCAAGAATTAGTATTTGAAATCTTAATTTATTTAAATAAAATAAATTGATGTGAAAGTTACATGTATTTTAAAGATTATTTAAAAACTAATTATTTTTAAAAGTTTGAAAATTGACTTTAAAATAACTTGATCACTTATTTAAAAAAAAAAAAATTGTTCCACAACGCTTCGAAAGTTTTACTCCCATAACCCCTTGAAAGTAAGAGGTTCTTTTTCATCAATTTTCTCTTCTTTTTTTTTTTTTTCTTTTCTATTTGACTTGCAAATATCATACACACTAAGACAATTCATCTAAATAAGCTTAATCCTTGTAAATGAATGAATGAGCTATTGAATGAATAAGCTATTGAAATTTGTTGAGATAACTTATCTATGGGTTCTCTTGGTCTTTGTTTGAGATGAAATTTTTTTTTTAATCTTGAGTTACAATGGAAATAATTCATTCTTATCTTTTAATTTACCTTGCATATGTTATGCAATTTAAATTTATTATATATTATTTGTTTAAAAATAAAATTATTATTAAATTATTTAAATTATTTAAAATAATTCTAAATAAATAAATGAGCTTATTGAATTTGACTTCTTTTTTTTTTTCTTGTAAGGGAAATTTCCAAAATACTTGTATCAGCCGAACAAGTAATCAATATGAATCAGACACTTCGACCCTTTCTACTTTTTCTTGCTACGTATTTGGTTGAACAAATTCGTTCTCTCCTTAGAAAATTATTGTTCAATCAGGATAAATTGTGTTGCTGTTTTTTTCTTTCTTTCTTTCTTTCTTTCTTTTCTTTGCCATACTGATTTTTATTCTATTTATCTAAGATTTGATTCCAACACTCTAAAACAATATTATAAACAATCAACTGCTATGATCCAATACAAATATAATTAGAGTACTTAAAAACCACTGAAAGAGAAAGATTAATTTCGAAATGTATAAAAGACTAACTTAAGAAAAACATTTTAATCGTTAAAAGAAAATAGTTCCAATGCCTCTTTTTGCAACATTCAAATGGGATGAATAAAAGAAAATTACAAGTGGTAACGACCCTTCTCAGAATAAAATTACTATTCAATCAATTTTGTTAGCCGCGAATGACTCATCTGTGTTCCGTGATAAATGGAGTGAAGCACGGAACAACAGAAGACAGGGGAAGAACAATTATAGAAAAAAATTTAAGAATAATTTTTTATATTG